GCCTACCGTTTTTATAAATTCCTTTTGATTACTCATTGTTGTTCTGGCAGTTTAATCAGAACAAACCGGTCCAGCTTCCGCTCCTCAGGAAGTGCATCCCGTTAACGAAATTCCGTTTGACACATTGCAATTGGAAATTGTTAGGGTCGTGGCGCTTCATGCAGTTGAAAAGCCCATGGACTGGCCACATCGGAGTGGCGTGCACCGATGTAGACTGATTGAAGGACGGACCATAAAGAATTTCGTTTGATCTCGTAGTTCTAGTCGAGAGCCCTCCTAGACGATCAGCAATCAAATAATCCATGTATGGCTATTCCAGTCTACCTCGTACGTGTTGGTAACACGTCCCGATTGTTGTCTGCCCAGCGCTGTGTGGTCGCCTGCAAGAACCCTTTACAGGAGCGTCTGAGCTAGATTACATCATCTATCTTCCCTCCTGCAATGGGAGTATATTACGAATTAGTAATTTTCACCGCCAAAAATTGGAGAAAGTCGGGGAGACTACGAATTTGGGATTTCCTAGTCATCTATACTTTCTTATCCTCATTTCCATGATGAAAAATACCGGCAGCCCAATAGGGCAACTAATTGACTCGACCGGACCGGCCTCACTCGACGGTTACCGATGACTTGCCTTGTGGTTGCATGCGGAGTTGCAGTTGAAGATTCATTCTGGAAAGGACACAAAGATGATCTGTCCAGCATTTTACACCGTCCATCGCCTTTGTTAACGGCATGTTACACCGGCCACACTAAAGAACAAGGACGTGATCCAGGAGCTGCCATTAATGCGAGTGAATGGGCAGCTACGTCGTTTTCTCCCGGATTAGAATGCGGAAGGTGTTCCTCAGGAAAAGACTGCTTTCCTTGCAGTCCTGTGGGAGGAGCGAGTTATCGTTCTTGCTGCCGCCGCTCCTGTGACTACCCAACATTCCCAGGTTGCATGGTCTGTGCCGACGCAGGCACTGAAGTCGCCAAGGAAGATCAGTTTGTCTGCCCTCAGCACAGTCGCTCGGAGGGTATGCGCATCTTCGTAGATTTTGTCCTTCGGGCCATCGGAGCTTGAAAGTAGAGGCATAGGTGCCGACGATTGTGGCGAATTTGTGCCCACAAAGAGGCAGGCACAGAGTCATGGGATGGTTTTCGATGCCCTGCGGCAGGTAGGACAGCCGTTTGACGACGTTTCTGATGGCAAAGCGACTGCGGCCTCTCGGCAGGGTGAGCATTGTCTCTCTGGTCACTGCGGAGGGTTCTGAGATTGTGACATTCTCCGTGTCGTTCGCCAACCTGCCGTCTTTGAGCTGACACAACATATGTGTGAATCGCTCAGGAAAGTCGAATTTCTGCATGATTTTTCAGAGTCCATTGCAATTCACCGTGTAGAAGGTCTTCGGGCCCACGAATGCTGTGTTAAGGTGGGCCCGAATTTCCTGGCACTTCTCTTGCAGTTAGCGGACAGCGAAGGTCATATCGACAGTGTTGCGGCACTTTGGAACCCGCACTGGCTTTCTGGGAGTAGTTCTTTCCAAATTGGTGTTCAGGCGATTTAGATGGACGCGGGCGCAGATTTCCCCTGCAATATTGGACAACGAGATTCTCCTGTGATGGCTACAGAGTTCCCGTCTCCCTTTCTGTCTGTGGAGATGGACGACGGGCGCGTTCCTGAAATCCTGGGGGACTTGTCTTCAGCGTCCCATCGCCTGGAATAGCGATGTGAGTTTGTCCATCAGCCTAGAGCCGCCGTGTTTGTAAATTTTGGCCGAGATCGCGTCAGATCCTGGTGAGATCCCGCAGGAGGTTTGGAACACGCCTCTGATTGTGGGACGGTGGGCGGTCCATTTCGCTGCTCGTTTTCACCTAAGGGATCCGGTTAGTGGCGCCTTCGGAGATTATCGATTGGCTACAGAAGACAAGTTTGAGGTGTTCGGTCCTACGCTTCAGAATTTGCGATTTCTCTGTGAGGAGTGTTGCCCCATTGGACCTGAGCCCCTTTGCTGCATGGTCCGTAGACTGCCTTGTTTGAGGTGAATATGTTTTTGGTTTGTTTGTGGTTCACATATCCTTGGGTTCTCTCGGCCTAGCGGTCCATCCAGCCGTTCTACATCTCCCGCAGCCGTTGCCGAATAAAGCTGCGACATTTGAGGTAGGCCGCTTTGTTTGCGTTGGTCCCTTCGGTAGGTGTACGCTTTGTGCAGTGTCGGATAGGTTGCTGAGTTGTGCGTAATTGTAGTAAAATCAATTCTGGTGTTGACGTCCCGCACGGCCGAGGATGTCAGGGGTGGCCGATTAAATGGCATGTCGCAGTAGCGCTGTCGTTCGAAGCCTGCAGTTTTTTCCAGTCGTTGGGCTAATTGATTTCCAAGTCTAGTCTGTGAGCAGAAAAATTCAACAAAGAAATATTTAATTTACTTGGTGGTCGCGTACGATTTGGCCTCCTGCGAGGTTCCAGTCGAAGCTTCATCATGGGGATGACGAGGCGGAGATCTGTCCAGCCATCGGCGTCGCCTTGGCCACCAGCACGTCCTGTCGATCTGGCCGCCGGGCGGGAACGTACTCCAGCAGCTGCCAGTACTATGGTCAAGGGGTGCATGCAGGTTATCGGAATGAGCCAGGTGTGGTGAGGAAGATACGGTGTTCCACGCAGATTTGCAGAAGGAGGAGGCCGTTATCGTTATAGTTGCCGACACCATGAGGACACAGCAATCTCTCCCAGGCAGCGCTGTCTGTCCCGACGCGCAGTGAAGTCATGAAGGACAATCAGCTTGCCCGCCTTCTACCCAATAGCCAGGTAGGCGTGCATGCTTTCGAGGAATTGGCTCTTCGCTTCGTCGAAGTTATTTATTGGGGAGACGTTGGCGTTGATGATGGTGGTGATTTTGGCTCCCCGAAGATGCAGGGGCAGGGTCAAGTGGCGGTTGCTGAAGCCATGCGGTGGACAGGGTAATTGTCCCACAGTGTCGTTCCGGAGGGCAAATGCGATGCCAGCATCGCGCTGCCCTGCCTTTAAGAGGTCACTCTAGAAGGGGGTGTAGCCGGCACCCACCTCCTTCAGTTGGCTTATTTCGGTGAGGCGGGTCTCGCTGAGAGCAACTATGTCCAACTTGTGTTGCTACAGTTGTTGAGCTACGAACGCCGTACTCCCTTCTGACCAATCGCTCCACGAATTGTCTAGGAGAGGACGAACATTCCAGGCAGCCAGAGTGAGCAGACTCACTCGGGCATCATATGGGTGGGGCGGAGGATGGAAACGAGGGTTGTTGCTCATTGTGCTGTTTCGACAGTGTGTTTTACATCCATGAGCCCCGGTCAGCTTAAAGATGACGTGATTCCAGCATTCGGTTAGGTCACCTTTTCTAGTCCCTTCCCCCACGAGTGCCTTAATAGTGCTATCTGTAAATAGGACTGTTTAGACACCCCATTCGGCTGCCAAACTTCACTATGGGCCACGGATTGACGTAGTGAGAGGGTGACCCGAGTTAACCTGGGCCGCCTACGGGATTGCATGTTGCCCTCTCCGTGGGGCTTATTTAAATTAAAAAGGAGAAGAATTGGGGAGGGGAGCAGAAATACAGTGTGAGGACACATGAAACGCCGGATACCCTCATCTGGTTTAGCTCGTCTGTCAAGGCAGTTTCTGAGGTGTGGTCGCTAGAAAAAACCCAACTTCAGTGAGTCACGGATGGGAGTTAGGAGCTAGCTAATTACCGCGCGGAGCAGTCACTATTTGCATCGTGTTTTTACCACATCTACACGCTTTACCCACTAACCAGACACAAATACACCGTACGCGTGTACCCGCCAGTTCAACCGTCGTTACTGACGATGTACACCGTGTGCTCCACAGCAAGGTGAAAGCAGGCACGGTGACTTGCATGTGAACTAGTTTGTAGTGCGGGTAGACTTACGCAGCCCCTACTGTACTCTCCTCCTCCTCCTCCTCCTTCTCCTCCTCCCCTCCTCCTCCTCCCTCCTCCTTCCTCCTCCTCCTCCTCCTCCTCCTCCTCCTCCTCCTCCACAACCACCACTATCTGGGCCCGGTGTCTAGACATAGTCTAGAAGACCGGAGATGAGGGAGGGCACAGACGACTGGTACGACCGGACCCGCACTTTAACGTTCCACTCCTCGCCCCGTGGTCCACGACAAACACTTTACCAGGATTTTGACCAAGAGCAACAGAATGGACGTGGATGAGTGGATTATCATGCATACAGACTGTATACCCAGCAGTTGCACAAGCGCATATGCCGCCAGTGGACCTGGTACCGGAGAACCGCCGGCTCACACCAGGCTGCGAGGGCCATGACTTGCTAAATCATGGCACAGCGGACGCTCTCAAACCTTGGGCCCTGAAGGGCGACACACGGCCCATATTTGCTCGTGCCATCGCCCTTCAAAGGCTGGGTAACCAGTCAGCCGGGGACTGAAGGGCACTACCCATTAAGTAGCACGCACTCCTTGCATGTATGAGAGTGCCACAGGTTACTTTAAGAGGGAATCGTGACAGCCATGATCTCAGCCGACCACTCCGCCATGCCACTGGACGGATTGCCAGGACTGAGTTGAGGCGTTAGTCGGCAGCCTTCCAGGCTACGGCGCTTGGTGCACCGTGATAGTCTCAGACTCGGACCCTGCATACAGCAGAGGGGCCACATGAAGACGGAGCCGAGAACACTTCCCACTTGCATGGGATTTGGCAATCGAGTGCTTTCAGTGGTGATATTGTCGTGTGATGTGGTTGTTGGTAGAGGATGTGTGATGTAGCCGGCAGTTGTCTACCGCAGGTTTTCGTGAATGCGCGTGCGACCTTATAAACCTATGCGGTGAATGAATGTACGGAAGCAGTGAGCGCAGTTGAGGTGGGTATGATGAGTGTAGATTGGTGCTCCAGGCACTGGTTCGCCAGTCTCCGTGCGAGGGATTCGCAAGTGACTGACCAAGTCGATGTGTGAGGTGAATGTGCGATCGCAATGGGGACGGGTACGAACTGAGTCCACATCGTCGGAGGCGGGATTGTTGGTGATGGTAGAAGGTGATGGAACATCAGACGTCGTCCCGTCGGTGGGGGGAATGCATGAATTCGTGGTGGCAGTGATGCTAGCCGCTGCGGTCGATGGAGGAATTAGGGCAGAGTGGAGGGTGTCGCTGGGTTGTGGCGACCGGGCAGCGACGGTGTAATCGTCGGTGACGGGGGTGGCGGTCGGCGGGAGGTATGCGGCAGGAGCGAGAGTGGGAGAAGAGGTAGACGTGAACAAGGAGACACGATAGCTGAGAAAAGAGCTTTACTCGTTTGGCGTTTCGGATTCCTGCTCGAACCCATCACCGGAGACAATGGCAGATACGGGTTCCAGGCGAAGCCTCGTGTCGGAAATGACGAGGCGATTGTCCGTCCAGCCGTCGGCATCACAGACTGTCTTAGTCACCATCACGTCCTGCGATCTCGCCGCCGGATGAGAACATAGTGCAGCAGTTGCCAGCGCTGCGATCGGGGGTACATCCAGGTCGCCTTCTTCCGAATTGGCGGGTGGAAGAATATGTTGGTCACCAGGAGGCGGTGTTCAGCGCAGGTTTGCAGGAGGCCATTGTCGTCGCAGCCATCGATTCCATGAGGACCTAGCACTAATATTCATGCAGCGTGGTCTGTACCGACACGGGCGTTGAAGTCACTCAAGACAATAAACTTATCCGCCTTCGGCACCGACGCCAGAAGGGCGTGCAGGCCTGTAAACTGGCATTAAATAAAATTATCATCATCATTCGTAGAACTTGGACTTAGTCTAGTCTAAGCCGGTAATCGTTGAGGCCTAGGCGCTGATTGTGGTGGGGAAGTTGGGCTCCCGAAGAGATAGACACATGCTCACCAGTCGGTCTTCGACGCCCTGCTGAAGACAGGGCAGTCGTCCGTTACGTTTCTGTGTTGACCACCGCAAACTGAATGCGGTTACGACACTCACTGCTCCGTGCTGAGTGTGCCCTCGGCGCCATTCCTGGCACACTGGTTTCCAACGTTGGACCTCAAATCGGGATATTTTCAAGTCGAAGTTTAACCGAATGACTGCCAAAAGGTGGCCTTCATACCTCTCAAGGGTTTTTCGAATTTGAGACCATGCTTTTTGGCCTGTGCAATGTCGTCGCTACACTTCCGAGACTGATGCAAATCGTCTTAGCCCATTTGTACATCGAGCAATGCCTAATTTATCTCGACGATGTGAATGTTTTTGGGAAGACAGTGAAACTACACGACGATAACCTCATTACCTCATTAACAGCATTACAGGACAGACAATTTTGGCTAAACCCCAAAACTGCCAATTCCTTCGCGACCAAGTGCATTACCTAGGTCACAAATTTAAAGCGATGGGTGGGTGTACATGCAATTCCGGAAAAGGTAACCGGTTTTAGATCTTGGTCCACACCTCAGTCTCAAACAGAGTTGCGAGGCCTTCTAGGATTAGCTTCCTAGTACAGTGGTTTCATCCACCATTTCACTGATAAAGCCCGATCACCGCATCCGCCGACAGAAGGTCAAAACGTCAAGTGGACAGAGGACTGTCAAGCGGCGTTCGACGGATTAAAGGCTCCGGTTCTTATACTTTCTAATTCAGGAACCGAGGCCACACCTTTCATCTTGGATGCGAACGCCAGCAGATATGCGGTTGGTGGAGTACTTTCACAGACAGACGAAACAGGCCGTGAAGGGCGAACGTGTTTTGCTCCGAAAACCATGTACGGAAAACGAAACTACTGTACGTACACCGATACCTGTTAGCTGTTGTTCTCTTCATCAAACAGTTCCGTCCATTCTTATCATGCAAGTCCTCTATTGTCCTTTCCGACCACAAAGCCCTTCAGTGCTTGCAGAACACTAAAGATGCCAGTGGGCGACCAGCTCGATGGCGAGAACTACTGCGACAGTATACGTTTACATGAGCTTACCGACCACGAAATCAACATACGAACTCAGACATGTTGCCACGCCGCCCGCCCACAGTTGGCGACGAGCGCACATCGGTAATATTCGGTCAAGTTAACGCTGTATACGCCAGTGAACTTACACGTCATCACTGCGCTGTCGCCTAAGGTACTGATCCGGGCACCGCAACCGGATATGACCACCTTCACCGTCGATCCCAACCAACAGATACAGATTTATTCGGTTCCTTTGAGGAGGCCTACATATAATCAATGGCCTCCCCACTCCATAGAGAGTTACATCTTGGCGTTTAAGGACGAATCTTCCAGTTCATCCCGCGTAGTTATTCCATGTAGTCTGGTGCTCCCAGTGTTAATGGACCTACATCACGAACTCGGCCATGTTGGACAGCAAAAACGGACATAGCGACGCGACAAAGGTTTTGGTGATCACGACTGCATGAACAAGTTGCCAAGTTTGGCAACTCGTGTTAAATAAGTGCTTCTTTTAAAATCAAACACGAGACATGCGCCTGCCTGCAGGCAATACCAACCGGGCTTCCTTCCCAAAGGGTGGGCAAAGACATCAGTAACCCACTTCCGTTTACGACCACAGGCGACCGTTTTATTCCAGTTAGGGTAGATTATTTCAAAAGTGGGCAGAAGCAGTGTCACTCCTCTGCCAAGACGCGGCATCCGTTGCTTCAGCCATTTTCAACGAATGTACACGCCGTTTCGGAGCACCACTGTCTATTCATTCCGACTACAGTGCCAATTTCGACAGTAAACTAGTCTACATATGTGCGACCTAATAGGGATCCATAAAGCCCCCACAACGCTTTTCCACCCAGAAGACGACAGAAAAGTAGAACGAACAAACCGCATTTGAACCAACAACCTTAAAACCTTCACAAGGGAAAATCACCCACATGACCGGGACAAACGAATTCTCGGCGTTCTAATGGCTTGCTGGAAGACTGTGCAAGCCAGTTCGTGTTGATAAGGGTCCTTATTTGCTGGTCAGACATCAGATTCAAAATAAAGGCATCCCCAAAAATCATTTTTCTCCATCGGCCATGCAATCAGAAAATTTTCCTCAATATAGTTCAGTTCAGTTTACTGAGGGAAGTAGGCTTGAACCCTTGAGCACCCTGCTTGCAACGTAAAACCAGGTGCGCTGTACAGATACATTACCTGGGCTGAAATAATTCAAACGAGCCCATAAATATATGACCAAAGGGAATTGATTTTCAGGGGACGAGCTTGATCTCTCATCGATCAGGAACAAAAATATCTCAAGGATCTTTTTAAAACTTTGTATCGATGGTGACATCTCAACATCTGGAGGAAGGGCATTCCATAGTTTGACCACTCGGACAGAAATGGAGAACTTCCGCACATCCAGCCCTGCCTGCCGAGTGCGCAGTTTAAACGGGTGAGCTCGGAGGTTGGTCGTGGTAGCAAATTCAAAAAAGCCCTCGAAGGTCAAACTGCAATCCAACCCCTTCACAATACGGAATGCTTGCAAGAGATTCCCGCGAAGCTGCCTGTAACTGAAAGGGAAGAGGTGCAGATTTACTAGGCGGGTTGCATAAGGAAAGGAGCTTTCATTCGTAACCATCTTCGTGTCTTTCCTCTGAACTCTTTCGAGGCAATTTTGATATTGAACCGCACATGGTCTCCAAGCTTGTATGACGTATTCCAAGTGCGGCCGCACAATGGAATGCATCTTCGTCAAAATCCATAAATGCACGCTTGACAACGTACAGTACGGACATTGCGCTTTTTGCCACTCTCGAACAATGAATGGATTGTTTTAAGGAAATCGTCGTCAGCACACCGAGGTTCTTTTGGGCTTCAAAGCCTCGTAATGCTGCACCGCCCAGAAAGTAGTCTCTTGCGCTGGCGGATCTTGACTCTGTTGCCTCGGCGATGTATTCATTCTACATTTACCAACGTGAAACGCAGGAGCCAGTGGTGTGCCCACTCTTCCAACCGATGTAGGTTCATCTGCAGTCTCTCTTCGTTGGCGGGGCCCCGAATTACACTCCATACCTTCCTGTCGTCGGCAGGCACTGGTACTTCGCAGTCCAAAGATCTTGCACAGTCGCCCGCGTATATTAGGAAAGCAATGGGTTCAAGTACTAAATCCTAAGAACAAAGTTCTTAACCCCAGCAGAATCTGATTTTCCTTGACCGATGCATGCAACCTGGTGTAGACCCACGAAGAAGTTTTCGATCCATTTGAGGAAGTTGCCTCTGATCCCTGTTTCTTTCAGCTTGTGTAACAGTCGAACAGTGTAACACAATGTCGAACGCCTGCTGAAAGTCAACGGAAGTTATGTGGACAGCGTGCCTGTCGTTGAGAGCTCAGGTCAACGTCAACGAAGGTCAACGCGCGCAGCAAGATCTTGAAATGATTAGTGAAAGTTATGTTTTTAATTCGATTTCTTGTTCTCTTGCACTGTTTTTCAGTATAGATCTGGCAAAATTTCCTGTTTTTGGTCACAAGTCATTTAAGATTCCCGTCGTGGTTTGTCGATATATCATAAAGCGGAAATAAAGTGTCAGTTTTTCGCCCAACATAGCCTCAATCCTATTAAGTTTTACCCGCATATATAAAAGGTTTTCCTCGTAAACTTTTGAATAACATTATATTTTAAACGATAAACCGTCCCCACTGACCGCTTTTATTGCCGACTTATTGACTAGTAAGAGAACTATTCTTTTCCCAATTTTATTCTACAAAGCCTCATTTTCCAATACAAATTTACTCACAGTTTTGTTTTGCCACCTACGAAATTGTCATTTACCCACTTCCTTCAATTTTGCATTCTGTTATTGAGTGAAAATGGCTTAGCATCAAGTGTGCTGTCTGGTCCACCAATATTGATAGCTTTCAGAAATTGTTTCATCATACATAGCCTTATCCTTATATCCTCGAAGTTTCGGCATCTATCATCACTATAAACTTTTGGATTAAAGTCTTGTTTTGCTGTTTCCACATGAAACCTCAGGCACCGCTTCGTCGAAATCTGAGGGAAGCTAAACTCCATTTGAAACCCATTGTACATATAAAAAATAGATCTAGGAGATCTCGATAATGTTAACAATTTTATGTTTCGTTACGGATCAATTTTTTTCTGTTCTTGATGTCCTTCTTGAAGGAAAGTTGCCAACACTTACGTCTCAGCAATGCGAGAAGCTCATGCCTCTCACTGACCTGGTTGCTAGTGAGACCGAAAATAGGCACAAACGAAGATTTACTTTATTTTAAAAAATGTTCCTAAAAGGAGACAGCCAATCGATGTCGCTTTCCACTATCTTT